TGTTTTTTTTTTTTTTTGCATTGTTTTCTTACAACAACGAAGTGTGATTTGCTACCACCATTTGTGTTCATTGTTCACTAGTGTTTGAAGTACCGCTACACCAGTGTGATTAGTCCGTTTTATTCTGGGAGAAAATGATCCTAAATCTTGAATATTAAAAGGGGATTAAGTTCACCAAAGAATCATTACGAATTCGGTAGACTCGGATTCATTCATTTCTGATTCATCCATATTTCTGTTTTCTTTAAGTCTCCAGAATTTGTTTTCAAATACAGAATACTAACAAGTATTAGTTTTAAGAGGTCATAATAAATTTCATAAGCACCACATATTGTCATACGAACTTGAGACCCAGTCTCAACCATATACTATCAAGGTGTAAGAACTTTTTTTTTGTCTGGACATCAAGTTACAAGTCCATTTGCAAATAAAAATGCCTAACTGAAGAAAACTTCACTAGTATATTCATATGTTTAGGTTCATCTATGGTTTTTGTCAATATTTTCATTTACCTTGAAGAATACAGAACAGAAATTTACTAAATTATAGCTTTTTGATAAAATTGACAAAGAAGAGAAAAAATGACTCAAGTAGAAGATGCAATGTAATGCTCAAACATCCATTCGCCAAGAAGAAAAGAAAAGAGCATATATAGTGAGAAAATTCGGGTATGTAGTAGAATTGTCAGCCTCTAAATTCAGATTTAGTGGGAGAGAGAAGTATAATGAGTTAACAGGCTTTGCAGCTCTTCCTACAATATCCTGGAAGGCCTGCACTTCCAAGCATATACTCTGGATTCTTGGTGCATTCCCCAAGGGCAGCCCATCTCTTACAATTCTCATCACGGTCGCTGCAATTTCCTTCGGTATCCACAGTTTTGTCAAAGGAATTCACATGAATCCACTTTGTTGCTGACCATTTCTCACCTTGAATGACAGGGCACCCACCATGGAGGCTAAGAGGATCAGGAGTGGCATTTGGATGGAGACTATAGAAAAGAAGGGCATCTCCTTTCCGCGGTTTCACTGGTAAATTCCAAGATAAAGGAAAAAGCAGAGACAGATGACAATAAGTCGCAGCAAATAGAACTATAGCAACAATTTTGAGATACCCTAAATCGTATAGAGTTACCTGGTATGCCCTTCTTTGCACATTCAGACAAGCTGTCATCTACTGTCATCGACCTACGGCGAGGTGCTTCCTGCATGTAGAAAGTTCCAATGTTTGTTGGGTAAGGAATCTGTAGGAACAAATTCAAAAACAAAGAATCCAAGAGAAGACTGTAGTATAAACTTGGTGAAGCTGAAGTGCAAATGTCATGTCATCAGTACCATTCAGTTTATGGATAGAAGAATAAAACAGACTTCTCTAATAAACAAACTTGAGGAATCAATCCAAACAAATCCAAGCAAAAATGCAATGTTCACCAGACCACTGCTTTAATAGTATTGCTTGCTGCAACTGAAATGTGCCATAACTGTAGGAAAAATTCCATTTTCCAACGGAGCTCCATGGTTTTGTCAGCTTTCTGCTGTGCACATATGTTTCAATTGTCACACTACAAAGCTCAATATTCTTTTAGTTCTTGGTTCCCAAAAATATTTTGTTTTGCTATTCAGCATACTTTTACCCTCCAGTATTTAATCCTCCAAAATTTCAATAAAACCACTTCAAAATTAATATATCACCTTTAAACCCACCCCACAAATAAAAGAATGCAGATATTGCCAAGATTACCAAATAACGTACATCTTAAAGTGGATAGAAGCAGAAGACAAACTCCCTCCTTAGAAACCAATAAGCAAAATGCATATATCATTGAACTCGTGGCTATAACAGTAGAAGGAAATCAACACTACATAAAACTTGAAGTAACCTCTGCTTTAGGAAAGACAGTTTCACCACCCTTTTCGACATCAGTGAGATACATAAGTACGGTGGCTAAGCGGTGTCCACCTCGAGCAATATTAATCTTGTCTACAAAGTAATCATAGTGCGGCTCATATTTCTGCCCCTCCTCATATCGCAGAACTTGTAATTCTTCTCCATTCTCTGTACACAAGAAATATCTTACATAATCTGGTAACTTAATGTTGTCTCTCCAAAAATATCTAACCAGCAGAGGCAGTGAAGAACTTAATAGAAATAACAAAGAAAGTATCCAATGCGCTTCGAAAGTTGTTCATATTTTATTTTTAGAAGTGGATAATTCTTGTAACAGGGGTGATTAATAATTTACATCTTAAAGAATATGTAATTAAGGAGTTAACAGTTATTGATATAGAGCCCGTTTGGATGGGCTTGTTGTAAGTTACTTTTGTTACAGAATGAACCTAGACACTTTACACAATGAACATAGACTTTTTCTTAGTAGTGTACATAACCCATATATAGATAGCAGATTTGTAGGAATCTCTTTTATTTCTTTCCTTAGTTAGCACCTGATTGTACATGTATATATATGTATCACTACATGGAATAATATACCAATTTGATTCTTCCGTACCTTGTTAATTACATGGTATCAGAGCCACATCTGTGGCTTCGCCGGAGTTGAGTTTGTCTCGTTGGAGTTGACCAAAACTTTCTGGCAAACACGTGAGGTGCGTGTGTGGTCCATTCTCTGTCCAGCTTTGTTCTCTGAGATCAGCTTGATATTTTCGATCGATTGTTGGTTATCCTCTGATAACAGAACCTTATTTTCGTGAAGAACAGAAAAGGTTGTATTACACCAATTTTGGTCGAGTTTGAGTTCTTCTATTGTTTGGTTTGTTTTTGGGATACTGAAGTAGTCGTGGAACAATATTCTTGCATCTGATTGCTTGTTTGTGAATTGATATTTGTTGGGTCTTCCTTGTAAGACGCTTTGTTACAATTTGAGAGTTGATATTATCTGTTGGGTCTTCCCTTATCAGAAACTTTGTTAGTCTCTAGTTTTATTTGATTTGGGGACAGATTTGTTTGGTTCTCTAATTTGGTTGAGTGGATTATTGGAGTGAAGTTCTGTTAAATAGATTGTTGACTTTGTGTTTACCAGAGATTTGTTTTGGTATCTTTTAGCTTTGGGGGCCTCTATTAATTTAATCGGTTTGTTATTCAAAGAAAAACATGATGGTAAAGAATAATAATGCAACAACTCATAGTCCAACAATCTTGGTTTCGGATGAGTTTCTAAAATTCCTTCAAAATCATAAATCAGTTAAGGAATCTTCTTCAGTTACTGCCTTTGTTGCGTCAGATAAAACATGTCTTATCACCTCTTCCAATAAATGGGTGATCGATTCAGGTGCCACAAATCACATGATGGGTAATCCAAATATTTTTTCTAGCTTTCGCTCACATAAAGCACCCTCTCCAGTTACTGCAGTTGATGGATCAACTTGTAGCAGTGTTGGATCTGGGACTGTTAAACCAACTTCCTCTATTTCCTGCCATTTGTATTAAGTCTACCAAACTTGGCCTTTAACTTGATTTCTGTTAGTAAAACCACCAAAGACCTTAATTGTTGTGTTGCATTCTTTCCCGATCATTGTTTGTTTCTAGATCTTACAACAAAACAGGTTATTGGTAAAAGATATTTATCTGGTGATCTCTACATCCTTGATGAATGGGAGCCACGGTCTATTGCATGCTCTAGTGTTGTGTCTCCCTTTGAAGCATATTGTCGATTGGGACACCCCTCCCTGCCTTTGTTGAAGAAACTTTGTCCTCAGTTTCAGAATATTTCTTCATTGGATTGTGAGTCATGTCGATTTGCAAAACACCATCGCATCTCGTTAAGTCCAAGGGTTAATAAACGAGTTGAGTCAGTTTTTGAGTTAGTTCATTTTGATGTTTGGGGTCCATGTCCCATTGTTTCCAAAACTGGGCATAAGTATTTTGTCACCTTTGTAGATGATTTTTCTCGAATGACTTGGATTTACTTTATGAAGAGCCGCTCTGAAGTGTTTACTCACTTTTCTGCCTTCTCTGCTGAAGTCAAAACTCAATTTAACGCTTCGATACGTATTCTAAGGAGTGATAATGCTAAAGAATACATGTCGGAGTTATTTGAATCGTACATGAGACAACATGGTATACTACATCAGTCTTCATGTGTTGATACACCTTCTCAAAATGGAGTTGCTGAGAGGAAGAATAGGCATCTACTTGAGACAGCTCGGGCACTTTTGTTTCAAATGAAGGCTCCTAAACATTTTTGGGCTGATGCGGTCTCTACGGTTTGCTTTCTGATTAATCGCATGTCGACTACTGTGCTTGGTGGTAATGTGCCTTACAGTGTCTTTTTTCCAAACAAGGCATTATTTCTGGTAGAACCTAAGGTATTTGGAAGTACATGTTATGTTCGAGATGTTCGACCATCTGTTACCAAGTTGGATCCCAAGGCATTGAAGTGTGTTTCCTTGGCTATTCTCGCCTTCAGGAGGGGTATCGATGTTATTCTACTGAACTTGGCAAATATTTGGTGTCAACTGATGTGGTATTTTCAGATACTACACCATTCTTCTATGCACCTCCCATTTCTACAAGTCAGGGGGAGGAAGATGAGTGGCTAGTATATCAGGTTACTCGTACTTTGACAGAACAACAAGATGATGTTCCTCCATCTCCTAGTTCTATCGAGCACCAATCCACTATTCTGCCTTTAGCATCTGCTCCAACTGTGTTAGCAAGACCGCCAATTGCTCAAGTTTACTCGCGGAGGCAACAGACGAATGATACATGTTCTGCACCAATTCCTTCGTCATCAGTTCCTTCATCATCAGATTTGCCTCCACCTGACCCTCCAGAAAACCTTGACCTTCCAATTACTCTTCGCAAAGGTAAACGTACTTGCAAATCCACATATTCTATTGCTAGTTTTGTATCCTACGACCACTTGTCTCCTGCATCTAGATCTTTGATTGTGTCTCTAGACTGTTTCTATACCCAAAACGGTGAAGGAGGCTTTGCATCATCCTGGATGGTCTGAAGCAATGCTTGAGAAAATACATGCCTTAGAGAAAAACCACACTTGGGATTTAGTGGATTTACCCGGTGGAAAGAAAGTAGTGGGATGCAAGTGGGTCCTCACAGTTAAAGTTAATCCTGACGACTCTGTGGCGAGACTTAAGGCCCGACTTGTGGCTAAGGGGTATGCTCAGACTTATGGGGTGGATTATTCAGACACCTTCTCTCCGGTTGCCAAACTTACTTCTGTCCGCTTGTTTTTTTTTTTATGACCGAGAAATCCGTCTGAGGCCGATCCTTTCGACCAATCGCAGCCTTTGAAACTCGGTGGATAATGGGCTCGCCCCTCTACCCTTTTCCACTTAAATACCAGGCTTTGTTTTGCATGGTGTGGGGTCTTGAACCTGTGACCTAAGACACAAATCCACCACCCTTTGCCACTTGAACTAGGCCCTGGAGGCTGTCCGCTTGTTCATTTCTCTAGCTGCTTCTGAGAATTGGCCTTTGCATCAATTGGATATTA